CCAGACTGACACTGGGCGGTGGTACCGCCCGTGACAGAGGAACCCGGGATGAGATGTTTTTAGGCTCCAAGTTTGAATCAACTTGAAGCCTATAAATACCCCTCTCATCCTTGGCTGAAGAACACAAGTATTGAGAGCAAAAAAGTATAGAAACGCTGTTGCAATCTTGTGTGAGCTCCTCTCATAGTTCTAAGTGTTAGAATAGTTTAAGAGAGGAGTGAGTGGGGTGTAAGGGTTATCTCCTAAACCCGGTAAACGAAGAATTGAGTTGTAAAAGGGTGTTGGCCTTCGCCTATTGAAAGAAGGCCTCTAGTGGATGCTGGTGGCCTCGACGGAAGAGGAATCAGAGGAGTGGATGTAGGTCACGATTGACCGAACCACTATAAATAGCTGTCTTCTCTAGTTTGCATTTATTCTTACTATTACCTTACTACAAACATCTTCAATAGCTTACCGCCTTCAATACTTTTCCGTACACTTTCAATCTAAGCATATTTTCGGAATCGACTTTTACGTCGTAAACACTTTTATCATACAAAACATTTTTGAAGACGTGGTATTATCCGCTGCACTAATTTCCCCGATCCTAATAATCCTAATCGAAGTATCCTGCGTCACTCAAAACGCAGATTAAAACATAAACACATATCGATTGGTTTTATCATCAAAATCCAAGATTCAATAATCTCCCCCTTTTTTATGATGACAACCAACCGACAATGGAGTTAACCTTAACTCCCGGAGTTTAACCTAACTCCCGGAGTTTAACCAAACTCCCCCTATCAATATGCTTTATTGATAGAAACTCTTGGATTCAAAAATTTATGAAACATGTCATGATAAAATCCTGACATATAATCAATCAACAAACTTCTCCCTCTTTGTCATCAACAAAAAGGAGAAGTTCCAACTCTCATGGGTTTAGAGATATCTAAGTTTAAATCGTTGCATGAAAAACATAATATCAAGTTTTATCATCATGCAATTTGAAAGCTAGCAAATTTAAGGATGTTCAAGAAAGCAACTCTTGCTTCTTGAAATATGCAAGTTGCAAGCTAGCAAATTTTTGCTTCCTTTGCAATGTTTGAGCTAGCAATTTTGCTTCCGTTGCAAAGTGCAAGTTAGCATGTTTTGCATCTTGAGATAGGCTAGATAGCACTTTTGGTATGTAAATTTATAGTATGCAAGCTATCAAATTTTACAAATAAATGGTTAGCAAAATTTTACATCTTTTGAGATGTGCAAGATGGACTATTTTGCCTCTTTTTGAAATGTGTAACTTGGCAAACATTGCTTCTCTTGAGATTTGCAAGATAGGACTTCTTACTTCCTTTTTTAGATTAGCAAGCTAGCAAGTTTGCATCTTTTCGAATTGTGCAAGCTAGCAAATTTTCTTTCTAGCATGTTTTGCTCCCCCTATGTCATTATCAAAAAGAAGGGAAGACCCTTTATTTCATACATTCAAATTATGACAAAGGTAAGGTAACAAAAGATGAAAAAATCAAGATGTGAATATCAAAACAATTTTTCATCATGAATATTTTATCATTGCATGCATCATTATCATAAGTTAAAGTATTATATGCATAATTTCAAATTATCATGTATATAGAATATAAAATCATCATTACATACATGATTCAAATCATCATTTATTTCACATCATGATGGTACCAATTTTGTCAAATTACATCCTGTCATGCATAATCGAAACTTCTTATTTGTATACATCAAAACAAATTAATGAATATTTCATGTATTCATATCATCACATAAGGAATATCAAGAAGAATTATTGGGTGATGAGATAAATATTTCATAAATACAAGGAATTGCATAAAAATCATATCATGAAATATTTGAACAAGTGAATACGAAAATGCATGATTTCTTTTGAAAAAACCTCCTCATAAATAATCAAAAGAAAATCTTAGGAGATCGATTAACGAAAAAATCTTGATTCATAATAAAGTTTCATATATTGAATACCGAGAAATCAAGATGATAATTCAAAAAAAAACATATCACAAGTTATATTCAAGAGAAAAATCATCATTCATTTTCAATTCATTCAATTTGTCAAATCAACATTTCTTGGGTATGCATGATATCAAAACATGGTTTCAAATATTCAACATATAACATGCATAAATTCAAAAATCGAAAGGAGAATGGAAGAATTCAAAGGTACAAAGATTTCAATATTCTCATAAACAAATGAAGGATCAAGTCATGAATCCAAAATTCCATGAATCATTTTGACAAATCTCCTTTTAGATAAAAAGATCATCAAAGAAAATCTCATGTTATTCCAAGAAATCAAGATCATGATTTTGATAAAACTAATTTCAAAATCATTTTTATGGTTCACAAAATTCATAACATAAGTAGATTCATGATTTCATTGATAACATATTTTCCCTTTTTTAAGTGATATATTTTAAGTGATTGATTTCATATAAGCATGCTCAAGTTTTTCGTATGAAAACCATATATATATACACATCATATGTATATATACATATCAGACTAACTAGGTAGTAATCAATTAAACTCTTTAATTAATTTAGATTAACTTTTAATCAATTGGACTTGGATTAACCCTTAATCTAATTTGGCAAACCTTGGCAGAACCATGGCACAAGGCGCCACTAGCGACTAGGAAACCTTGGCCGTCAAGGTTCCCCTTATAGCCAAGAAACCCGAGCCACCAAGGCTGCCTTCGGCCAAGTAGCCCTCGTCCAAGGCTATAGGGCAGTTGTTGCCGTCCTGTTTTGTCATATCTTATGTCAAGAAATTTTTAAATGACTAAACACTTCATACGCCACAAACTACGCTGTTCTAATGTCAATTCGACGAAAACATAACTAGTTTACAAGAAACCGATTCAACACAACATGTAATCAATAATCGATCATCGCACGAGCAACCTGGCTTTGATACCACTATTGAGAAACCTTAGATAGCATCACATGCACAGTGAAAAGTAAAAACAAAAACTGGTTTCTCAAAACAATTTTATCGAATCATCGTGCGATGAACGAGAGTGTAAAACTCAAAGCGACAAAAACCGTGTAAGGGGTGTGAGACGTTCTCACCTAGGGGAACTCGCATATCCCTTAATATCACTGATCCTAGACTATGGATGAAAGAGCTCTCGCAAACTCCTCTCTAGCAAATGATCCACACGATGGACGTAGCAACAACGCACCTCCTCGCACATCATGTTCTTTCCTTGTGATCGCGCACCACCACGCAACAGCACACAAGGAGGGATCGATCCCTTTTGTTGTCCTCTTGGCACCGAAGAGGGGCAATCGATTGGAGGAATAAGGGGGGAGGAGATGAGGAGGGTGGCTAAAGGGGTCCAGCCTATGACCCTTAAAGTCTCAACTCCTATTTATAGAGAGCCTCCTTTAACTAATCCCAATGGATCCTACCTTAACGGGTATTGGATCTTCATCCAATTACTATGGCTTAATAGATATTAGATCCTCATCCAAGAACCAATCTAAGCTCTATCGGGTCTCTCCCAATGATCCATTAAAATAGGGGCTTATCAGATATCTCATATCAAATCCTCTATTCGTCGCATTGTTCACTATAAGTGTATGATCCTCTAGGCCTAATATCGAATTGGTCGTGAGTTACACTTGTCAGAACTCTTTTTGACTCAATGAATTATTACCCTCATAATAATTCGTTGAACTCATCGACTATGGACATACTATGCCACTAGGCCATAATCCCCAAATGGTACAAAGGATCTAATCTACTAGACTTGTTTGCCCTTAATTATCGTATATACATAGTTTATCATCCATCTAATATCCTAGATATCATATACCTTGTATAGTACTATCAAGCCCAAATAAAATCTATCCGAGTCTCACTCTAATCAAAGTCTCCCAAAGAACTCCTGCTCTCTCAATTTGAATCTCACGCTTATCGAAGTCATCATGATCCGACTGACCCTAATCAGGGATTTGCTTAAGTGAGAACATACGAGATATTCCTTTTATGATACTAATGGTGGATAATCCTCTATTAACACCTAATTGCCCATGTAAAGTTGATTATCATTCTTAATGATCGTCTATACTATATTTGGAACTTCCAAACCAATAAGTCTAATATTAAATAATGGAGTACTCAAATAAGGCATCTTTGATATCTCAAATCTAAGAACTAAATAAACAAATGAGACTAAGACTATAGAATCGTCGTATGACGATGAGGTATCATTAATTATCCAACATTTTTAAGCGGATCATTTAGCGAACTCATTTTTTAATAAGCACTTACATTAACTATGAGACTAGTTGTCTCTATCATATTAACAAGTATATAGCACACTAATATGTTTGATTATCTCGATATCACTCTTTAATAATCTATGATCGAAAATATTTAAGATCTATATTTAAAGATGAATTGATCTCGTTATCATGATTTCATCATGATCCAATTTTCATTGCATAGATCCAAGGATATCATAATATATTTATCATCCAATATAAAATAAAAAATATGGTTCATTTGTTATAGTAAACTTGTAGAATAAAGTTTTTATCAAGTAAGCCAGTGGAACCTCATGTTTATTCCATGTATTATCTCACGACATTCAAATAGTTGAGAAGTTTTATATTGCATAATTATGCAATACTTGTATATAGAGGGAGCAAATTTTCTAAACACTAATCACATGTACTGTACAATTTTGTTTAATTTAAAACAAAAAAAAACAAACATAAGATTTGATATACCATTTTAGAGATATAATTGGACAGCAAGTTCAATTATATGTTTTAACTTAATGTTGAGAATACACTGCACGGAAAATTCTTGGACATCATCTAAAAACACAATATAATGCAAATGCATGCAGCACACAACCATGACATATAGTTTAAAACCTCGACAAAACACTACTGATCAAGAAGACTAGCACAGACGACTGTACAGATTCTTAATCATGCTTTATATTATGCAGAAATTACCATCCATGGGATCAATCTTGTGAAAGCATCTCATAAATTTGTCCATCATCATTATAGCTTTCAACAATTTTCTTGGCGTATGAGGGAATGTGCCTTTCAGCTCTGCTAGAATTGAGATAATGTATATATAAGTAATGGTTACCTCATGCATTGTGGTGGCAATATAACGAGTTTATACCTTTGTTTTCCCCACTGTCGATGAACATACAAGTAGTTCCTTATTGTGTGGTAATCCAACGAGTAGCGACCAAATTCCAAACCTTTTGGGCCAATCTGAATCAGAACAAGTGTACATATGAGCTTTGAAGTGTATATAATTCGGATCAGCATATGACTGTCACACAGCAAAGCCACACTCACCAAGTTGAGCATAAATGTTATGAAATTTCCAATGAATTTGGGAGCTGGCTCAGGACCTTTCCCTGTAAAAGTATCAGAATTGAAATGGATGTTAGTGATTTACATTTTAGTTCTCCTGGAGATCCACAAAATATCACATAATTTGGAACTCTAAAATAGGATAAGAACACATCAACATGGACGTTCTCAATTTACCATTTCTAGTCATAAGGAGGCATAATGGCTAACAAACACTGAGCAACAACATACCAGATTTTGCTTTGTCATCAGCTTTAACTGTCTCCATAACAAATGGTTTTCGGTTACCCTGAAACAAATATTCAAAATTGGGGGAAAAAATATCAGCTTGATTTACTGTAGTTTCGTAGATTAATTTTTCTGATATTTGAAAAGAGCCAGCCAGGCATACACTGCTTGTTGTTGGAGTAATCTCTAAAAGTTTCTCCACCAGTTTTAGCATCTCCCTTCCACGTTCATTCCTGTCATGGAAGCTCCAAACAGTTAGTTGGTAAAGACATTTTGCAGCAGCTAAGTATTTGGCAATCCACAATTATATCCAACATCTTTGACAGACAGAAAAGAGGGGAAAAAAAGGACTATGGAAGCCACCCAGTTGGCAGAATAAAACTTTGAACTAGGATACAACCTTACCAACAACTATTACTTATAAAGCTTGTTTTAGAATTTTCAATTTCCATCAGCAAATGATTCCAAAATTGTACCGAATAAGCAAATCAGAAGTTTGCTATTTACACACTTTTGATTATTAACGATGCTGCTTTTGACAATGCATATGTACTTTTTCTACATTACCTAACAGTAATATATTGTGGATGTTCAGTCATGCTTATTCCGGCATACTTTGGCACACCCATATAGCCCACCACTAAGTCCTGCAATGATTCATCAATTTCATGCCAAAGAAATGGTAAATGTAGTGTCAGAAGTTTCTTCACATATAGCTGACAGATGAAAGAGCATATAAGATGAAATTGAGACTAAAAAAAATTTATTGAAGATATAGCAAGAAACCATTACTAATAAACTAAATCCATAGAGAAAAAAAAAATAAAACTAGATCCAACATGGTCACCGCCTACTAGAACCAGCATATGATTCTATGTATAGAAATAATTTCCTTGAATGAAAATTTAGTGATCATGACGAATTGAAAGAAAGTCCACAATGCAAACACTGAAAGAACTCGACAAGGTGCAATCCAAAATTTTTATCATATCAGACACTGAATAATTTCTTACAGGGAAATTTAGAATGTAAATATTTTCCAAACAAGAAAAACCAAACTTACCGCTAATGCATTTGTGTAGTCAAAGCAGCTGCAGAACATACAGGTAAACAATTAGCAAGATTCTTTAATTATGCTGCAAAAGCACAAAGATATGTACAAGTAGGCAATGCATGTTCACTTCATGGTTAATGAAACAAGTCTACAAATGAAATCATTCATCCTAACATGCAGGCTCAAGCAAGTCGAACAAATGGAACTAACCTACTATTTGTAACAATATCATAGAGTAAAACCAGTTAAAAATAAGCATATCATTCAGAACATGTTGAGCATTTGGCAGAAACTAGGCTCTATATGAAATTAAGAATTTTTCTCGATAACACAACATTCAGAAAATTACAAAAATCAAGGCTTCTCAAAAGTAGAATTTTTATTTTTCATAATAATAAAACTTTTTCCAAGAAAAAAAAAACAGAGAGTATGTATTCAAGTACACTATTCAACTATGGTTGTGACTGACCCATTTAAACAAGTCACTAACCATCTCCACTTAGTGCAAGACAAGATGCTTTGTATAAGAATATTTTTGCTCTTAACTTGCCCACTCCCTATAGGATTCTGCTCTTACTAGATAATGGGTTACCTTCACATTTACCACTTGTATAATATCTCAGTATTGAGCCTCAAGGGCAAGCTTAGCACCATAGTTAGGTTGCTCTAAGAGAACCTATTGGTCGAGCACCATACAGGTTACTCTCACGAAACACTGGATTCCTTGTATACTGGACCACACTTGTTTTAGTATAACTAGAGCTTATTTTTCAGAAAATTAGATGATATACACACCAAGAGCACCACTAGGAAGTGTCACCGACATGCACACGGTGTCCCTCAAACTACCTTAAATAACTCATATATTCAGTGGTGCTGGAACTTGCTTGTCTTTGGTTCCATAAAGTGATTGGTTAATTCTAACTAATTCAGAATTTCAAAGTAATGCAATGTTCTATACCTCTACAAGAATCTAGAACCTCCAATTCGAGCAAACTCTAAAGTTATCACAATTACATTAATTAGCAGAATGCCACAAAGAGAGGAAAGAAATGACGTACCTGTAGCAGGACGGTGCAATAACATCGACCAGTTCATTTGCTGGCAGGGAAAAGTAAGGCACCTGTTTTAAAGGAAGATTTAAATGCTAGTATATAAATAGCACAACCATTGAAATTATATGGTCAGGCTACCTCAAAGAAATAGCATTTTACCTCTTCAATATGGCCATCCAAATGCTTTAGGTGAACCTGATAAAACACTAGGTTATGTAATGTATAATAAGATTGTGACTAGAAAGTTAATTTGCCTACAGGTTGTTAATACTATTTTCCTGATGACACATCATAATAAAAAAATTACTAATGCAAGCTACGAGGTATAGGAAAACTTCTTTCTTGTTGCTATTCTAGAAGGCACAATTGCTGAAAAAGAATAAGAAACCTTGTAATCTTGCATGAATTCATAATGCAGGACTGTCTCTGGCTCACTACTTGCTGCATTGAGGAATTTTTCTAGGCCTTCCCGAGTTCCATTATCCACTATGAATAAACAAAAATGAAATCAAAATTTTGAACTATTACATAACTGCACAGCCCTAAATTTGTTCCATATAAAAAAAATCTGCAGATGGAAAATGCAGGAGCTAAGTATCATGGACACTAGGTAGTGAGTTTTATCAAAACTGACATTTTAACCCAAAAAAGAGCATGCATCATAAGAAACAAACAAAAATTTAAAGATACAGGAAACTGCCAAATACCACAATTGGTGCCAAGAACATAAAGCTTGTCCAAGCTAAGGTATTTTTCAACAGATCTTAATGCTGCATCAAGAAATCAGTCTGCATCTCAATATTAGTGAGTTATAACAAAGCATGAACTACAAGTATTAAATCAAAACCTAAATAGAAAAAAATATATACCTTGCACTTGACAACCTACTCCACAGAAAAGAAGGCGTTTTACTCCTGCAGCCTGTTACAAATTAAAAAACATAAAAAATGGTTTAGAACTACCATATCAAAAGTTTGTAATAATGGTATTTAAGTGAAATTATGCAATTATTGTTTAAAATCAGATCTGATTTTTGGATATATATGTGAAATGATGTATATTCAGAAAAGGTAAGGATGATCACATAAGGGAAAGCTTCATTTAATTGTATTAAATACATCTTTATTAAACGACATTCTGAACCCTAGGCTTTTTTAATAAAGCATATCTGAATTCAGTCAGGGTGAAGTAGAAAAAGTGTTAGATGAGATAACCACATAAGAAAAACATATTTCCTCAGGGTAATAAAGAGAGAAATACATCACCTCCACTAGGGCAAGGGTATCAAGGTTAGGAGATAATGTCGGCTTGACACCTTTTGCTGCATAAACTTCATCAGGGGTCCTGCCAAAAAGAAGTTCCATCAATTAACTACTTTTATAGAAACCAATCAGGAAACTACAATCTCCTAAGAGAGGTCCATAAGTTTATATCTCTAACAACAAAAAGAAAAGATCGAGAATGCAATAGATTCAACCGAACGTGATGCTTAAAATTCATACCTGGCTAAAATTGGCCTCGGAGTAAGCCTGTCATCTGGATCACTGCAGCATTTGAAGGAGTTTTAATCTCAGTCCACTAAACACATCCTAAATGAATAGCTATTCTTTGGCATGAACACAATTTTATGCAACTACCTTTGCACACAAATGACAGCATCTACCATATTTGCTTTAAGCATTTCTACAGCAATTGTTGTCACAATCCCCGTCCATTGAGCTCCTAAAGATAAAATGATGAAACAAATTTGTATTCTGGAGAATTAATTAGGGTGCATACAAACAAATATGGACCCTTCAAGTGTGGAGAAAAAAGGAGTCACTACAGTTATATACTCACATTACAACCTGAAGGCAACTAGATGTAAATTATCAGAAACCAGTATCATTCTTTCAAAATATTGAGTTAACTGAGAGATCACCAGATAATTTTACTTTTTATGTTCCTAGCATGAAGTACAATAGCAACTAATATCAAACCAATAAAGAGCAGATTTAGTCTAATCAATAACCAAGTCAAATAAGTATATATAGAAACAGTTAGTCATTATGAATATTAACATGTCACTTGTGTGAAATGGAACTGCAGAATTATGCAAATGACAAGTTGAATTAGCATGATAGTAGGATATATGTAATAAAAGATATGATAAGAAGAAAACACTGCTTTGTTATATCTACTAGAAATACTGGACATGCAACAGTACCTTCTACAGGTTTTATCTTCTTAGCATACAATAATTGCTCATGAACACCAAAGTAGATCTCATCAAATTCCACTGTTCTGGCTCGTCCATGTACTGTTGGTTCCAAAACCTGATGCAGGAAACCTTTATTCATAAAATTAGTCCACAGTGCATCAGAAATCTGAGCAATGATGCACTTTAATCACTACAATCATGTTTATTTTTGTCTCTTGTCCAATATGTATTCTGATAAAAAGGAAGGTCAACCAATGATTCAGACACCACAAATTTCTCGAGATAATATCACTATTCAATTATAAGCCAGTTTTAGCAAAATAAAATGGAAAAAAAATAAAGCTACAATTGAAGAGGAGCATATCATCCAAAATCCATCTCTTTGAGGCCTCCAGCCCCTTAACACTGCTCATAAACAAAAGCGATGCAGGAAAAAGAATCTGTATATTCGTATTAAAGGTATCTTATGTTTTTACACAAAATTATAAACTGAAAATATGTGTCAATGTCAATCTTTTTTCCCAAAAATATTCTCAACAAATACCTCACTAAACATTTATGCTCCAAGAATATAATTTAATGAGAGTGGTGATCCTATATAAGCAGCAAGTTTCTTTTTTCAATTTACAAATCACATCAATCAGCTTAGTGATGAAAATTTTGAGGAATATCAACCAATTCTAGCAAATTCCTGCTTCATTTTATACTTCATTCAGAGTATTGAATGACATTATTACACATCTACAGCTATTTCAACATGATCTATGAACTCCGGTCATTGTTTAGGAGATGACTATTGAAGAATCAGGCTTGATCAGCTAGTTGAGACATAGTGCATCAGCAAATCCAATTAAGTTTCATTTCTTCATACCTTATCAAACTGACAAATTATCATCAGAAAATCTATTTAAGATTCCTTTCTTCAGACCTTTAACAGATTGAAAAATTACAAGAAAATATGACCAAGAAAAACAGATAGATGGAAACATAAATTGAATCTCTTTTGATGCATTAGAAGCTAAAAAGTATCTCCATGGAGTTTACAGTTCCTCTCTTTGTAAAATTTATTAAAAGGAAAACTAAAAAATATTTCCTTCCAGATGGAAATGCTTGTGAGAAGAAAATAAATACTCTCTTAAGTTCATGAAGAGAACTATTTCATCAGTTGGGTTCTATCTAATTTCTCAACTTTGCTCTTGGCTCAGAATACTCACTTGCAAGCCCCAAAACAAACTTGTCATAGCAAACTCAAAGACTGTATATGATAAACTAAGGCTTCCACCTGCTACAGTGGTAGCAAGCATTTCCAAACCAGCAAACAAGGCAACTTTCAATCATGATTATACGAGCGACGTCACTATGCTAGAAGTCAAATCACTCAAATATTTGAATAACCGGATCCAGTAATAAGCAAACCCAAGTTTTGCATGTATAAAGACAAAATGAAAACAAGAGATACTGAAACCAATAACAACCAAATCACACAAGACATTCACATTGTTCATCCGCATGTGGGTTATGTCCAAGGACACAGAAGACATCAAAATTCAGTAACAAAAACATAAGATTACAAGGTTGGAATACCTTTCCTTATAACAACGAGCAAGCAACACTAGAGGGGACAGCTCCATTGCCGCCAAACCCTCCACAATGGTGAAATCACACCTATGGATTACTGTAGATGCATGATCTCTTAGAGTAGCATCCGAGTAAGGGATCGACCTAAATCCTTCTTATTGAGAATGTGAACATCTGAACCTGACTCTCCTATGGGAAGTTTTGTGCATTCACAAAATACCGCTTAACACTAGGTAGAATTTATGTTGATGGATAATGGAGATTTTGGTATCATGAAAACAAAATTAAAAGCAGAACATGGAAATTACTAATAATTATTGAATTCTTGCAGCCCTCTAACCACAGAATCTAATTGAAACTCCTTCGATGGAGACACGATCATCCGAAGTGGGGAAATAAGCCAAGAATATTTATCCCCAACAACGAACTGCTAATTTTGAGGTCATTCAAAGCGGTGGAAGAGGAAAAATGGAAGCCGATCACCTCAATCCTGGACATGCCGTCGCCTAAGAACGCACACGCATCCTTCACATGGGCAATGTAGTAGGTATCGCAGAGCCCGCAACGGCTGCCCAAATCGACATCAACGACGGATAGAACCCGATCAAGAAATGAAATCGATTACGAGGTAGTAAAGAGAACTGAAGAGAGAAGAGGGAAGAGAGACCTGCAGTGGTCTTTCGCGGGGTACACGCCGCCGGGACGAATGGGTTTGGAGCGCTTCCGCCAGTCGTCCCTCAGCTTGGAGGTCTCTTTCTCTGTATCAAAAGATCGATCGTAAGAATAGTCGAGAGAAGGCAAAGAAGAAGAAGGGATCAATTGGAGTAGTACCTGCTGGTGAGGAGGAGGAGCAAGCGACGGAGAAAGGACGGGTGAAGGAGGAGGAGCAACACGCCGCGGCCATGGCTGAACGCGGGAGAGGGATCGAAAGCCGACCCCGTACGCTATCTTCTACACCAAAAGCAGCAACGTGTGGCTACAAATAGTTCGAGAAAACTTTGAACTCCGCTTGCTCAACGGAGCGGATGATGTTGATCGAACCCGTTAACCCGACCCGAAAAGTCGGGGCGCTACAAATCTGTCGACTGCGCTTCCAGCTTCGTTTGCTCGACGGAGCGGAAGATGTTGATCGAGCCCGATAACCCGACCCGAAATGGCCGAATCTTTTAACATTTTCTTGAAATACTTTCAATTACTACAAATTAATAATTTCATGTTATATCAATCATTATCTACTGTAATATAGAACAGAATAAATGAGTTACCAAAAGAAACATTCTCCATATTTGACACATTTACGTTGAGATTTTAAGATATTTTTATGATTCACATATATCGTGCAAATATGTGATTTTAAGATATTTTTATGAATATATAAGATGATTTTCTAAAAACCTTTTCTTTTTATGAATATATAAGATGATATTTTTATGTTTTTTTTCTTTTATGGTGCCCTTATTTTTCTACAGTAATGCATCTCATCATCCTCACCCTTGGCTTCGTTAATCGATATTGTCATGCTCTCACCCTTGTCTATTGCTTGGGAGTACATATAGTCTATGTTGATAGCATGTTATCATGGATAAATTTGTACAAAAAATGTTCAATATAATGCTTGTATATGTTTGTATCTTTCAATTTAGTTAATATTTTGCATAGCAAGTAGAGGACTTGTATAGGTTTGACAGTCTTATTTTAGTTGGCTTTTGTGATTTTTTTAGTCTTGTAAATACAAGTTGTATATAGTCGTCATGTAGAGACAAAACTATCCAAAAATATATCATCAATATAGCCATTTTGAGGATTTTCTAGCTCCACAGAATAATATAGAGTGTTAGCTAGTACAACACCATGGGGCAGCTAGCACATAGCTAGATAGGCCTTGGGGTTATTGTCTAAGGTTAGTTTGTTGTTTTATTTTGTAACAGTGTCATGTGGGCACTTTTAGGGATTTTTAACTACAATAAACCACCTTAGACCCTTTGTCGCATGAATGCTTAGAGCTTACGATTTCTATGTTTATAATTTATATTACCTATCAAGTATTTATTGGAATGTTTACTTATGGAATCCTAAGTTAAATAATTTCTCTAACTCATCTTTTCTTTTACAGGTTCTTATGGGACCATAAGATGTTTTAAGGAGGTTAACCCTTTGTCGACAGACATGCAAGGGTGCTACACAACTTAAGCAAAATCAGTTAAGTTTATAACATATGGTATTAGATTGAGAAAAGTACACTTAGAAACACTTTGCATGCAAATGTGAGGGATCTAGCAGAGCTATGTTAAGGGCAACCAACATGCACGATCGTTTGAGGGAAATATACATAGAGATGGAGGGAAAGAAGTCACTCAAAGAAGCGGATATCCGAGATTAGCATTCAAAGAAACGACCAACCCATTGTTGAAAAATTTAGGGTAACATCACATGCATAATGGAGGAACAAAAAATAAAATCCCATAATTTCCCACAGAAAAAGAAGGTTTCATCATCGTGCGAAGATTATTATGCAAAAACCTGTAAAATTGAAAACTACGCATATAAGAAAGATATGTTACCTAGAGAGATCGTATATCCTTAAAAACCTACAGATCTTTGGGAAAGGATGAAAGAGGTGAACCATCCTCCTCTCTTGTGGTGATCCACATGGCAAGGGTGTTGAATCTCGGATTTTGATGATGAAATCAATTGGTGAATTAATGATCTAATTCATGTGTTGAGATAAGTGATGTAGGACTAACTACAATCATAAGAAAGGCAAAATGATTAAAGAAGAATCAAAGTTGCGCCGGAGTCAATGATCGGGCATCGGGCTAGATGAATCGGCGGATACAACGAAGGATCGGACGATGCAGTGAAAGCTCGTCGAAAGTTCGTATTGAATCTCGAATTTTGATGATGAAATCAATTGATAAATTATTTGACCTAATATATGTGTTGAGATAAGTGTGCAAGATAAACTACGATAGCAATAAGACAAAGCAGATGATGAGCCGGAATCAAAGATTCGAACGATGTACCAAGAGCTCGCATGAAGATTGTCGAGAGTTCATTGGAAGATCGCAGAGAGTTCATGGCCAGAAGCTCATTGGAAGATCACCGAGAGCTCGTTAGAAGATCATCGAGAGTTCGTCGGGAGTTCGCCGGAAGTGCGCCAAAAGACTCACCGAGAAGTTCGTCAGAGGATCACCGAGAGAAATCGACATACCGGACTAATCGCTTGCCTTAATTGTAGTTAGTACATTAGTTGAGTTAGGATTGGGAGGTAATCCCATTAACTCATATAGGGGCCAACTAGGCCCTTAACAAGGCTAATTTAGGCTGGATTGAATAGCCCATTCAGCATCTGAAATCACGGTCGACGATGGCATCGCTAGGGCCGGTGGTGGCACCACTTGGGACTCGGTCTCCTATGTGTTCTAGGTGGTGGTACCACCGATAGTTAATGCTATCAAGAAGTGGTACCACCAGAGCTCGGTCTCCGAGCTTTGTCAAGCGATCATACCACCCAAACTGAGTGGTGGTACCATCCAGTGTTAGTCTACAAGCGATAGTACCGCCCAATAATGGTAGTGGTATCTCCAATACCCCAAAATCCAGGGAAGTGACACTTTTTAGCTCCAATTTAGAAGTCATTGGGGCCTATAAATACCTCACACTTTTCTGCATGAAAGGGTAACAAAGTGCAATTGATAGTGTGAAAAATTCTAAGTGTTTGGGGTGTCAAAAGTGTTGTAAAAGTGAGAAGTGTCCTCCTCCTCCCTCTCTTAGCTTTGTAACCATTTAAGAAAGAGGAGTGAGACTTGTAAGGGTTATCTCCTAAACCCGGTAAAAGGAGAAAGAGCTGTAAAAGGTGGTTGGTCTTTGCCTATTGAAGGAAGGCCATTAGTAGACGCTGGTGACCTCGACGGAGGAGGAATTCAAAAGTGGATGTAGGTCACAACGATCGAACCACTCTAAATTCTAGTTTGCATTTTGTCTTGAGCAATTTACTTTTCTTACAAGCTACTTTATCTTCTTACTGCCTTCTCTTCGCTCCAATACGCTTTCGAGTTAAAATCTTTAAGAACCGATTTTCGTCGGAATCGAGTTTAATTGAAATGAAGACTTTTGAAATGAATAATTTTTCCACCATACTAATTCACCCCCCCTTTTTAGTGCCGCTCTTAATCCTAACAATTGGTATCAGAGCGAAGTCACTCTCATTTGGTTTGAAACCCAAGAGAGATGGTATTTGCCGGCAACCAAGAGAGTCACTCAATTACACATCCACCCATGTTCAATGGGACGGATTACACATATTGGAAGACTAGAATAAGGATCATCCTAATTTCAATAGATTTTGAATTCTGGAATATTATAGAAAATGGGTTTCAAAAGTCTTATCTTCTAATGAACGATTCAAATGAGTTGGAGAAAAAGACTTCGCTTTAAACGTAAAGGCTATGAATGTCTTGTTTTGTGCCTTAGATAAAAACGAGTTTAATCGTGTGTCCATTTGTGAAATTGCTTTTGATATTTAGCACATACTCGAAGTTACTCATGAAGGCACTAATAGAGTGAAAGAGTCAAAAATTAATCTTTTAGTGCATACTTATGAGTTGTTTCGAATGAAACCGAGTGAGACCATTGGAGACATGTACACCCGATTTACGGATGTCGTCAATGGTCTAAAAGGACTTGGTAAAGGTTTCTCAGATTTTGAACTTGTTAATAAAATTTTAAGATCCCTTCCAAAGAGTTGAGACCCTAAAGTCACGATCATTCAAGAGACCAAAGACCTAAATAATTTTTCTCTCAAATTACTAATTGGATCACTAATGACCTATGAGATGACTTGTAAAGCTCATGAAGAGCTTGAGGACACCCTTCCAAAGAACAGGAAGAATATGATACTAAAACCCAAGAAGACCACTTGAAATAAAACTCAAGTGATGAGGACCTTGATGAAGACTTGACACTCTTAACAAAGAAATTTAAAAAATTCATAAAAAGGAATAAATTTAAAAATGATACTAAAAATAAATTTGAACATAAGAAAGATCAAGTAATATGCTACGAATGTAAGAAGTCGGGATATTATAAGGGCGAATGTCCCCTAGCCAAGAAGAGGCCACCAAAGATGAAGGCCCTTAAAGTAACATGGGATGACTCAAGTGCATCCGAAGAAGAGGAGCCTACCAACACTGAACAAGTTGCTCACTATGCACTAATGGCCATTGGAGATGAGATAACAAGTTCATTTGATGCAAATTTATCCTTCGATGAACTATTAAATACTTTTCATGATTTATTTGATAAATGTAAATCAATTAGTAAAAAATATAAATTATTAAAAAAGGAGCATGATTCTCTTGTTAGTGGTTACAATAGATTAAAAGTTGAGAACAATGATAGTTTAGTTCCATATACGAAATGTGATGAATAAGAAATACTTCAAAAGGAAAACTTGCTACTTAAAAAAATCTTAGAAAAGTTTGAGGTTGGTAGCAAGTCCTTGAACATGATCTTTGACAACAAGGGTCACATTTATAGAAAAGGTATAATCAGATTTGTGAGTAGCTCTCATCAAAATCCAACCACCTTTGTTAAAGGTCCTACTTTGCATGTTTCACCCCAAAACAAATGTAACTTTTGTTACAAATTTGGGCATGTAGCTTATCATTGTCCATTTAAGAAATGCAGTCCACACAAATTGATTTGGGTTCCTAAAGGAACCATAAAGAACTCCATGCAAAATGATAAGTTAAGACGATAGATTTTTGAGACACCCAAGGTCAAATGGGTACCTAAAAATCATCTTTTTTGTAGAAACGTATACCATCACAAGCTAGGAGCAAAAGATGGTATATTGATAGTGGATGCTCAAGACTTATGACCGGAGATCTATCTCAATTCTCTAAGCTCACTAATATAGACGAATGATATGTCACTTTCAGAGACAACAACAAG